CTACTACTCACTACTACTCACTACTATTCATTACAATTTACTATTATTTACTACCATTCACTAGCAACTACTACTACTCACTACAATGTACTATTATTTACTACCATTCACTAGCAACTACTACTACCCACTACTATTCATTACAATGTACTATTATTCACTACCATTCACTAGCAATTACTGCTATTCATGACTATTCGCCACAATCTACCGTTACAAGCTGGCATTTACTACTTCGCTACTATTTCCTTTTGCAACCTTAATCACCCCAGCAAATGAATGGCTCATTTATCGCCGCGGGAAGAATTCAGCCGAGAAGAAAAAGCTCTCTCCCGCGTTTCCTCTGTAGTCCTCCCGGTTAACCCAGACCAATGAGCCCGGTCGGGGCACAAAAACGCCGTATCCCTTCCAATTTTAGCCATCGCCGTCGTTCCCCTGGATTCCAGCGAAAGTGTTACGAACGCTTATCGTAAAGGACGAAAATAGAGAAGGTAGGTCCCCGAATGGGGTTGCGACAGGGGTGCGGATTTTCACGGTTCCGGTACTCCGCCGAGGAAAGTACATACGCGAGTAAAGTACACGTCGAACGGGTAGACGCGGGTGTCACGCGTGAATGCCCGCACGTGAGTCCGGCGTGCGTGAACACGTCCCCGTGCGCCGGTTCCAGAAACAACAAAAAAATACGTAGGGGGCTGAAATAGAATGTTGCGGGACCCGTCGCGTATACAGGGTGTCCCGTGACGCGCGGGAAAACTGGAGACGTTTTTAGCAGTTAACCCTCTGCAGGTCCGTGTAATTTTAAAGTCACGTGCCAGTATATCGACATCTTGTTGATTTATTTCATTTTGCACTCGAAGCGGCGAATAAAATTAAGTAATCAGTTAACTTAAACTTAAAAATTCGGCCCATGAAGAGTTAAGAGCAAGGAAATTTGCGAAGATACCGATTGCTGAGTTTACGAAGGCTTTGCTTGTAGGTTTTTATTTAGATTTTAGTTTTGTAATGATTGGCGTTTGTGGTTTTGATGTTACATTTCTAGTGTTTTTAATATTGTTATTTGTAGCATTGATATTTTTAGTATCGGTATTTCCAATATTTCTATTTATAGTGTCGATATTTCCGTTATTGCAATTTCTGAGATTGATATTTGTAGTGTAGATATTTTCAGTATTGATATTTGTAGTATAGATGTTTCCAGTATTGATATTTCTAGTACAGATATTTTCAGTATTGATATTTCTAAGATTGATATCTTTAGAGTTAATCTTTCCAATATGGTTACTTCAAGTTCTCCTGTTTCTAATATCAATATTCCCAAGATAGATGCTTCCAATATTGCTATTTCCAGTTTTGATATTCCCAATATTATTATCTCTCATCTCGATATTTCCAAGATAGATGTTTCTATCTCCAGCACTGGTATTCCCAATATTGCCATCGATATTTCCAATATTTCTATAAATCGAGATCCTTTCTTGTGAACTTCAATTTGAAGCGCCATTGCTGCGCCCGAAGTTTCTTCCGCGAGATTCAGACTACAGTGTACCCAGTAAAATTATTATTCTCAAGTTTAACTTTGCACTCGAGAGGTGACTCTCAGTCACCATTTGATTCGATGATAAATTACAAAGTGTTATATATAACATTAAGTTTTCTATAATGCATCAATACGTCAAATATTTATATAAAGTAGCTTTGCTTCTTAATTCACGTACATTTTCTCATTAATTCGTTGCAAATAGTGTCGTCTATGTTTCATCGGAAAGTGTCGAATATTTCTAGTAAGAATCTTCCGAGTGCAAAGGATTAACTGTTCAATCCTTCGAAGTTCCCCCGAAATATCACACAACACACCCGGTATCTACAACATACGCGATCCGTGCGTTTTCGCTTCTCATCATCAAAAACTGTTAAACATTTCTAGTAAGAAACTTCCGAGTGCAAAGGGTTAACTGTTCAATTCTCCGGAGTTTCCCCGAAATACCACACAACACACCCGGTATCTACAACATACACTCGTCAAAAACTGTTAAACATTTCTAGTAAGAAACTTCCGAGTTTAAAGGGTTAACTGTTCAATTCTCCGGAGTTTCCCCGAAATACCACACAACACACCCGGTATCTACAACATACGCGATCCGTGCGTTTTCGCTTCGCCTCGCGTATAAATACACGTGCGGCGGTTACCTTCGGGTCTCTCCCGCGACCCTACGCCCGCTCGCGAGACGGAGGGGTACGCGCCGAGGCGCCACGACGCCTAGACCGACGCCTGGCGTCGCACGCAACCCCGCGCGACCGTGAAACGGTTTATCAAAGCTTCCTTACTCCGACGCCCCGATGGCTCATATCTTCCTGGAAAAAACGGGGCGGCCGTTCGACGCTCACGAATATTTAATCGTCATCGACCGCCCTTACCGCTCTTTTTTTCTCTCTCCCTCCCCCTTTTCCGCCCTCCGCGCTCTGTTTTCCCCCTGCTTCGCGGGAACGTTGCCCCGAGGACGGGCAACGTTTGACGGACTAGCTAAGCCGGCTCTAGCCGTTGCTCCCGATGGGAAGGCTGATAACGATAAATGTTTGAATACGACCGTAACCGGAGGAATATTTTATGCTGCTACTTTTCGAAATTGCCGCTCGGCGGCTCGCGATTTTCATCTTTTATGAGCGCAGTTTCATCGATGCTCGTTTGGGGTAATTATTCGTATGCTTCTTGGAGATCGTGGTGGATTTATTATTGTTAACACTATGCCTTCCGGTGACGCCGTGTTGGTGTCGCGGGCGGAGCTACCGAAATTCTGCGAAAATGGAGGATTGAGAAGTATTGAGATTGGTGAAACTTGATGTTCGATGATCTCTCGAAAGCTTTGAGGAAACTCCGAGGCAAAATGATCCAAACGGGTCCTACTAAAGGACTGATCTAAAGAGAACGGAATAAAGGGTAATGCGTTGCCAAGTGAAAAGTAGGAGTTCCCCAATTCTTGGCTAAGTGTTAAGATTAGTACTGAATACTGATAGTTATGGGTTACGTTGGAATATGTTATGGAAATTGGAGGGGTTTCTTAAGATTTGATTCTTTGAGAGATAAATACAGGAACTTATTCTTGAATCTTAAGAAAATTAAGCATAAAATTATGTTGTGTAAGGAATGAATAGTCAAATCTAGAAATAACAATACTAGTTACTAAAACAATCAGTTTAAGAATGAATCGTGTCTACCCTACTCAATATCTAGTTCCTTTGAAATTAGATTATTATCATTACCTTTAGACTCTGTATAAACCCATCAGCAAGAATAGTCACAACACGTCACTAGTACAATATCCCAATTGCAATTAAACCCAGCAGTAAATTCGAATAAACCCTCTGTCCCAACGTTTGTAAACCCGGTCAGCTGTATCGCGTTTCCATCTGTCGCTATCAGTTCTCATAGAAAGAGACCATCGCCAGCCCCGATCCTCTCTTTGCACAAATTAGCGTTCGTTAATCTGCATAATGATGGACAATTTATTAACGACCGGAGAACGTAAAACGCCGGTCGTTCCGCAGCGACGTCCTTCTGTTAATGCGTATATTACTGTTTTCCGAACGATCGCGCGGGCCGAGCGCATTAAAAACCAGTTTCCAAGGTATCCGGTGCGCGTGCACGAGCGCGCTCGCGCGGGCCGAGAGGGGTGGGTGGTGGCACCGATAAGGCCCCATTCACATGGAACTGGGCTCGCGTTTTCTTTATTCGTGTACGCGCGATAGGCGGACATTGTCGTGCGCGTAATTATCCTGCGGCGCGGCGCTGCGCTCGCCCGCCGATAATTTGCCCGTTTGTCGCGACGCATTAAAAAATAATAATCCCGTGTTACACGGGCGAAACGCGTTATCGATTACGTACACGGTGTACCTTGCAAATTTTCCGGTTCGAGGATTCAAGCGAGGACGTCCCGCAATGCTCCGCGCTGTCTTTATTAGAGATCGCTGTCTGCTTTATTTCTCGTAGCAGCTGCAGAGCTGGACTTGTCAAGGTTTTCGTTCAATTAGATTCTAGTTTGTGTAATATTTATATATGTAGGAGAAAGAATTTTATTAGAAACAGTATAATTATTTCTGGATAACTCAAAATAAAGCAATAATCAAATCAAACAACGCACACACTATTTATACACTCAGATGCTCTTGTCTCACTCGCATATTTTCTAGAACATTCTTTTATTACCATGCATTAACTTTACATATATGTAGAATATTCTAGATTCATGAAAAAACGAACATTATTAACACTTTGGACTCTGTGGGCTCCAATATTGCACCAGGAATAATATTAGATATTTTAATGAATCTTAAAGAAACTACCCTAAAATTATTCGATTTTTCACACATCCAAATTCTGCACTAATATTCATTACTATTTACTATGCACTACTACTCACTACTATTCATTACAATTTACTACTATTTACTACCATTCACTAGCAGTTACTGCTATTCACTACTATTCATTACAATTTACCCTTTGCGGACGAAGATTCTCTGAAATACCCAAAACCCTCAACAGATGAAGCTAAATTACATATTAATCGCTCAAATACTAGCGATAACAGGAACTACATGCCAATCTCTTGCTGTCCGAGTAATTAAATCCTTTGCCTGCGACTCAGTCTTCCAAATATGAAAATTTCATCTCGAAATGTCGACATTCGCCCGCAAAGGGTTAATATCACGTTCTATTTATTCAAGAATATTTGGGAGTCATTGAAACGTTACCATTAAACGGTACAATTGTACCACAAATAAATATAGAAAAAATTATTAAAAGGTAGAGGTTGCAATAAAATAGAATAACAGTTAAACAGAATGTTACCCTGTCTCTCACGAACGCGGAGCCGTATCGAGAAATCGTCGCGTGCGTATCAGGCTTAAGCCGTCAGGCAACCAGCGCGCGAGATTCGAAAACGTGAAACGGTCACGGTATCGATTGCGCCGGTGCTTTAACACACGTTCCTCTCTGTTTCCAGCGGATTGAGCTTCCAAGATCTGATGGCGAGACAGGGCGCTATCGATTCCCCGCCGAAAACCCCGTTTATCATGGGGTCCGAGTGCGCAGGTGACATCGAGCAGGTCGGCGAGGGCGTGGAGAACTTTAAAGTAAGTAAAAGCGTTGGCGCTCGACGCTGGCGGAGATTCCCGTCCGCTTATTAACACACAACTTTTCGATCGCTTCGCCCGAAACACGCGACATTCCCCGCGTCCTTCCTCGTTCGGCGCCGATACGCTCCTTCCGCTTAACATCTCCCCCGAAAACTTTTCCATTTAACTTGCCCGACGACTTTTAAGTAGATCATTCTTGCCACGGAATTTGCTCCTCGGAACTTCGAGTGATATTTATAAATAATTTATCGGGAAACGTATTTCCGAATAGATTACCCTCTCTCGTAATCAGTTCTTCGAGTTGTGGCGTTGATTATTTTGAAATGAAATTAGCTTTGGGATTGGCCTTTAGTTTATGGGAATGGTGTACCCTTTGCACTAGAAAGTCACTAGAAGTATTTAGTATTCTTCGATGAGATACGATGTTCTTTGAAACTAATTAATGAAATATATATAAATTAACACTAGGTTTATTTATTGTACACTTCATTCTATTCCTAAAAGAATTGATGCTCGTTTATTTAGATTGTGGAAAATGGAGATTTTCAATCTCCAAAGGGTTAAATTGTTTTCGTTGAAATTGGTGTTCAAAGTATCATTGGTCGAGGGTATTGATTAAAAATGTCCATTTTGGTTGAATGTTCGTAGAGATCCGCTTCAGACTGGTTCATTAAGTAATTCTTCTCGTCGAGCACGCGGTGAGAGGCTGTAATTAAAAAACACTGGTTTCCGTTTCCTCAAAGATCGCCGATAAAGCCGCTTGATACTTAGTTAATAATCCACGGGCTTCTTTGACGGTCCCTATGAATTCTTTATCGGCGACTCGAGAGACTTCGTTATATATAAGAAGCACAAATCGCTGGTCCATTAGGCGGATTCTGTTAAGCATTAAATATAGCGTGGTGTGCTGAATTTCTCAGTTTGACGTCACCGATAAATTGTTCGTGTACAGTCGAATTTAGAGAAAGAACCGAGGAAACATTTTCATTTATTCTTTCATTCGAAATCCTTAACTCAATCAACAATCAAAATGTACGTCCCTCATTAATATAATACAATTGAATACACTATACTTCAATGTTCTTTCATTAACCAAGCGATGAACCAAACGAAACGTCAAATCACATGACAGTTGCCAATTATACTACTATATCATTAGGTCGTCCCATAAGTTTTTTAACACTAAAACTACCGGACGGGTCAAAATGACCCACTCTTGTTGTCTGTGCTTCTATAGAGAAACTTCAAAAAGTCAATTTTACTGCTCGGTAGTTTTAGTGTAAACCCTTAACACTCCAGATGGTTTTCTAATCTATCAGCAACTGCAACTAGGTTTTATAGTATCCATAGTAAAAATGAAAAATGCTATAACATTTCTTAGATCTTTTATTTTTCTTGTTAGTGCAAAATTTGGATGTGAGAAAGATCTAATAATTGTAGGGTAGTTTCTGTACGATTCATTAAAATATCTAATATTACTTCTGGTGCAATATTGCAGCCTACAGAGTTCAAAGGGTTAATCACAGAACGATACGAGTTTGAACTGCTTCAGTTTAATCAACAGAAATCATTAAAGAGTGACAGATCCTAATGTTGTAAAAATTATACATTTAACAAAATATTCGTACAGTAGCAAAATAAACGACAGGAACTTATGGTACAATACACACCATTATCCCAATATCCCAGTATCCACCAACAACACAACTATTACATCACAATAACATCGCAAACAATACACCAGCATGCCTCGCGGAAACCTCCCTTTCCCACAAACACACAAATCCACCTTTCACGTTCTCGATCCGCAGATCCCGTTTATCTCCAATTTAATCCCTCAAAGCCCCGACTCGCGGTACAATCGAAATCGTCGAAGATCCAAGAGGTCGAGCCTCGATTATCCA